TTTATTTATTTATAATAATAATATTCCTACAAAACACAATGTAAAAGATCTAAATAAACTGGCTAGACTATATACCCCAAAACACATATTAAAAAATAAACATCTTTAAATTTATTCAGTATACATACATATATATATATATATATATATATATATATATATATATATATATATAAATTTAATGAAAAAACAGACCAATTTAAGGTACCATTACAATAATTTATTTCACCAAAATCCTTTTAAAGGACTCCGGATCATCAGGTAACAATTCCAACAAAAAAAAAAAAAAAAAAAAAATCACAGCTCTTAACTGTTGGTAGATATCTGATTGCTTCAAGCCAGGATGAAAACCCATCCGATCTGGCATCAACCAGAGATCCTACCCTTAGGCTATCATTGCACAGCAGAGAGAAAGGGAAATATTTATGTTTTTCTATACAAAATACACCAGTGGCCCAGAGAGCTCAATTCAGTTGGAATAAAAAAAAAAAAACAGAAGAGAAGGAAAATAAAGTGGGGAGAAAGAAAGAATGTACAAAAAGGAACAAGTAAACGATAAACAACACTTTTGTACAAACACATACACACACACATATATATATATATATATATATATATATATATATATATATATATATATATATACTACAGTTCAAAAGTTTGAAGCCATCCCCAGAATTAATATGGGATGAACTTGACAGAAAAAATGAAAAGAAGAAAAATGAAAAAAAGACCACTTAGAGTCATTGAAAAAAAAATGGAATCAGTTTAGCCTAATACTTTGATAAACTTTTGCAACAAATGCCAAAATTTGTGTTGCAGTAATCAAGGCTAAAGAAGGATATTTTGATGAACAAAATTTAATCATAAAATGTTTTTTCTTACTTTTGTCACTACTTTTTGGGTCAATGTAAAAAAATTACAAAAGGTAGTGTCAAACTTTTGAACTGTAGTGTGTATATATATCTATATAAATATATATATATATATATATATATATATATATATATATATATATATATATACAGTTATATATATGTTTAAAATGTGGTATATTTATGGAAGAAAGTGCTGAATAACAGAAATAGGGTGTTTATAAATATCTGAACATATCTACTGCTGACAGTCAGTTTCAATCAATCAGAAAGATAATGAAAGAAAATTTTTAAAAAGTGAAATAAAATTTAAAGAAAAGTAAAAGAAAGAAGATGAAAGAAGAATGAAGCAAAAGATATGAATGAAAGAAAGAAGGAATGATGAAAGAAAATTTGAAAAGAGAGAAAAGAATGAAAGGAGGAAGGAAGGAAAGAGAGAGACAAAAGAAGAATGAAGCAAAAGACATGAATGAAAGAAAGAAGGAATGTGAAGGAAAATTTAAAAAAGAGAAGCAAATAAGTAAGAGAGAATGAAAGAATGAAGCTAAGAAGGAGAAAGATGACATGAATAAAGCAATAGAAAGAAAATTTTTAAAAAAACGTAGTAAAAAAAAGAAAGAAGGGAATAAAATACAAAAAGAAAGAAAGACAGAGATAAAAAAAAAACGGTACAGAAAAGAAATCAGTTCATTTTATGCATTGTCTATTTTATTTATCTTGCTACCAGCAGAGCATTCTGTCTAGTCCTCTTCAATGTTGTCGTTTTATTAATAAGATGGATTGCCATCACTCGGTGAGGCCTAGCTCGAAATAAACTGCATTGTGAATAATTCATTGGATGTTTTCAAGAATTGGTTCTCCTATAAACATAAATCGGACTTTTTAATAATTCACATTTAGAATGTACAAGCATGTAAGATATTGGCGGCTTGACGAAGAAGGAAATAGGAAAAAGAGTAGAAAAACAAAATAAAAATTTATATATATATATATATATGTATGTACACATAGGCAGAAAAACTTATGTATGCTTGTGTGTGCACACACCTAAAAGAGAAAAGTAAAAATTAATAGCTTAAAAAATTTCAGGAACAATTTCTAAAAGACTAAATTAAAAGAGACTAAGATTTTCTGTTTTTACTTGTATATAGCAATTAACTAAGCATAGCCTGGATGTGGCACAAGGCCAAAAGTATGAAGGGCCCAGTGTGGATCGATCTCACAACTCAGTTATAATTGATTTAGCAAGACAAGCTTACTAACCCTTAAACCAGGTTGAAGCAACCTCTTTTACTTTATATATATATATATATATATATATATATATATATAAATTGAGTTGGCTAGATGTAACCTAATTTCTATGTGAATAGTTTCTTCTCTCACATTTCTCGCTTGTAGGACTCCCTTCCAATTCCATCCTTTCCAGCCAACTTTAATCTTCAAAATTAAGTGTAATGTCAATCACTATCAACTGTCCTGTTGATTTCTTCTTGTAATGTTTCTGTTTCTAATTCTTCCACACCCAATAATTGCTTATGTCTTAGTGACTATACTGACTTGCATGGGAGAAATCAATTAAAAGCAATAAATTATAAATATATATATATATATATATATATATATATATATATATATATATATATATATATATATATATATATATATATATATGGTAGGTATGGTGAGTAAACTATTTCTGCAGCTAAATGTGAGTTCAGTCCTCATTGTTGCTTAGAACTAAGCTGAAATGGATATCAATCTATGTCAGTTTATCATCTATCAGTCTGTTTATTGTCTATTGAACTCTGTTTATTATCTATCTCAGATAAACAATTATCTATCTCAGATAGATATATAGATTGATTGATATATAGATAATTATCTATCTCAAACAGATACATAGATAATTAATTATCTATCTCAGATAGATAGATAGATAGATAGATAGATAGATAGATGAACAGACTAAGATAGATAATTATCTATCTCAGATAAATAATAAACAGAGTGAAATAGATCAATAGATAATAAATAGATTATCTATTTATTATCTATCACAGTTTATTATCTATCTCAGTCTGTTTATTATCTATCACTCTATCTCAGTTTGTTTATCTATTTATCTATCTATGTATCTACCTATCTATCTCAGTCTGTTTATCTATCTATCTATCTATCTATCTATCTATCTATCTATCTATCTATCTCTGTTTATTAATCTATCTATCTATCTATCTATCTCTGTTTATTAATCTATCTATCTATCTATCTATCTATCTCTTTTCAGTCTATCTAATCTATCTATCTATCTACCTCTGTTTCTATCTATCTATCTCTGTTTATCTATCTATCTATCTCTGTTTTTATCTATCTCAGTCTATCTATTTATCTATCTATCTCTGTTTATTAATCTATCTCTTTTATTAATCTATCTATTTATCTCTCTTTATTTATCTATCTATCTATCTATCTATCTATCTATCTATCTATCTATCTCTGTTTATTAATCTATCTATTTATCTCTGTTTATTTATCTATCTCAGTCTATCTATCTCAGTCTATCTATCTATCTATCTATATAAATATATATATATCTCAGTTTGTTTATTATCTCTCTATCTTAGTCTGTTCAGTCTTACAACTATATCTTGTTGAAACACCGAGCAACGCTGAGCCTGGACAGTACCTAGATAAGTGACTGTTAGGGAATACAAAGTGCTGTAATTTAATACAAATTCACTTATGCACAAATACTTTTGGACAGCCATAAATCTGCCTCTTCCCCCCCTCAGCTATGGGTTAATTAGTAAGACTTGTATCACTAAAGCATTATCATCTCCCTAAAAATATTTTCAAGTTTTAGATAACATCCAAAGGGTTAAAAATGAATGAATGAACCAATCAGTTTGTTCATTATCTATGTCTGTTCATCATCTATTTATATATATTAATTCATTATTTATCTATCTGTCTTTCCGTTCATTATCTATTCCCCCCACACAAATATATATATATATATATATATATATATATATATATATATGTTTGTGTGTGTGTGTGTGTGTGATAGATAATGAACAGACAGAGAGATATATATATTTTCATAGAAAATATTCGTCCTTTTACAGGATTCGAACCTGCATCCTATACAGAACCGTCATTTACGCTGACGTGTCTTACTGATCGACCACAAAGGAGCATTCGGTAGAAGTTTATAAGCAGTAAATTCGAGCTTGCCTGCAGGCGGCTCCTTTGTGGTGAAGCCTCGTTAAACAACGTCAGTGTAAATGATTTTATTCATAGGATGCAGGTTCGAATCCGTCAAAGGACGAATATTTTCTATGAAACATTTCTCGACATTCAGGCGGTAAATGTTATTAATACTGTTTATTATAAACAGAGCATTTACTAAATACTTGTATCTATAAAAAAGAACGTTAAACATAAAAAAAATGTCTTTAATAAATAAATTGTGGGACTTCGTCCATTTCTTAATAGATGATGTCATTTTTGTTTACATTTGATACGCCAGACACTTATGAATGTATGAGATTCATGGAAGATTGAAGTTTATAAGCAGTAAATTCGACCTTGTCTGCGAGCGCTCCTTTGTGGCGAGACGGTTAAGGCACGTCAGCGTAAATGATGGTTCCATATAGGATGCAGGTTCGAATCTCTATATATATATATATATAAATATATATATATATATATATATATATATATATATATATATATATATATATATATATAGTGTATCCCACTTACCTCTAGTCACTGTTTTGATAAAAACTAACAAAAATAAGTAGTAATAAGGAAGATTCTATCAGTCTATCAATTGACAAGAAGAGAGTAAGATAGATAAATTGATAGATAATCAGATGATATATACATAGGTAAAGGCATAGATAAATAGATAGATATGAACAGATTGACATAGATGCATAGATATGAACAGAGATAGATCGATATGAATAGATTCACATGAACAGAGATAGGCGGTAGATAAATAAATGTGAACACACTAATATACATAAATATGAACAGTGATAGATAGCATGATAGATAGATTGGTAGATAGATGTGAGATGTGAAGGAGAAAGAGAGTTAGATAGGTAAATGTTAGATAGATATGGACTGGCAGAAAGAGAGAAAGAGAAAGATAGATAAATGGTAGATAGATATTGACTGATTGAAAGAGAGAGAGAGAGTAAGATAGATAAATGGTAGATAGATATGGACTGGCTGAAAGAGAGAGAGAGTAAGATAGATAAATGGTAGATAGATATGGACTGGCTGAAAGAGAGAGAGAGAGAGAGAGAGAGTAAGATAGATAAATGGTAGATAGATATTGACTGATTGAAAGAGAGAGAGAGAGTAAGATAGATAAATGGTAGATAGATATGGACTGGCTGAAAGAGAGAAAGAGAAAGATAGATAAATGGTAGATAGATATAGACTGGCTGAAAGAGTGAGGGAGTAAGATAGATAAATGGTAGATAGATATGGACTGGCTGAAAGTGAGAAAGAGTAATATAGATAAATGGTAGATAGATATGGACTGGCTGAAAGAGAAAGATAGATAGATTGGTAGATAAAGGTGAGCAGACTAAAAGAGAGAGAGAGAGTAAGATAGATAAATGGTAGATAGATATAGACTGGCTGGAAGAGAGAGTGAGAGTAAGATAGATAAATGGTAGATAGATATGGGCTGGCTGAAAGAGAGAGAAAGTAAGATAGATAAATGTTAGATATAGACTGGCTGGAAGAGAGAGAGAAAGATAGATAAATGGTAGATAGATATAGACTGACTGAAAGAGAGAAAGAGGTAAAACATCAGAAACCACTAAAAAAAAAGCTAGCAAAAAATAATATAAAGAGATTATTCTTCAAGAACTGAACACCTGCTGTTTGCATACTTATCTCACATGCCATTGTTAGTGTGTCAGTCCTTCACCATTGCTCCTTGACTGTGGCCAAGAGCCAAAGTTCTTCATAACTAGGTGTAGTTTTTCTCACGGTAGCCCTTTGTTACCTGGTCTGGAATCTGTTAACAGTGCTGGATATTGCAATTTGCCATTTGTACGACAGCATCAAATATTGCCAAGTCAAAGAGAACCAATGGGAGATCATGATCACATGATAGACTAAGATGTCTTCTACATCCATCTCAGCATCAACTTCATTTGTTTGTTTTTTTTGTGTGGCAATTTTTCGACCAGGATTGTCTGTTCTCTACTTGGTGTCTTGGAGATATTGTTTGCAGATGAAGTGCATACATGTCATTGTTGCATTTTTATTATTCTGAGCCGGAAACCCAGCTTCTTTTTGACTGATCTAGCAAATAATGCATTGTAACAAATCCAAAGGTGAATCATTGTCATTTTCCATGAGGTAGCCAGACAAATATAATTATCCTTTTCATCACAATGTTTTTGGCTGATATGTTCTTTCACCTTCTCTATTTATTGAAATACTGAGCAAAACTTTCGACATCATTCTACAAGTTATCCAAAGAATTATTATTATTTATCAGAATTCCTGAGATTAAGAACGATCATTATTTTTGCAATGTGTCTATTACTTAATTGAGTTCAGTTGCAGATTAGTACTTTATGTTCTAAGATGACCATTAAATATGGCTTTTGCTATCTCTCTTTGTCCCATGCTTCTCACATTTATAGATGTGCAGGCGAGTCTGCCTCATCACTCAGGCTATAACAATTATTACATGTTGACTACTGTCCATATCTTTGTTGCAATTATCACAACATTTCAGCTGTTGTGAAACCCCAGGCCTTCATCAGGTGCTTGTCCATCCAGAAAACTTCAAGGGAATTTCAAACTGATCCTGATCATCAGACCCATTAGGGTTGTAAGGGGAATCACATATACTGCAGCCACAGCAAAAGTGCTGTGTCTTGAGCAGGACAACCTGACGGTGCCCAACCCACTCCAGGCTGGTTTTGAATTCAGTGTTTTTCCTTCTCCTAGACCAGTTGCCATCCAAGGCTACAGGACTAAGACTGTCTTGCTATTTACCCATAACTGGAAGGGGAGAAGAGGTGGATTCATACCTTTCCTAAGTGTATTAGAACATAAGTGAATGTAATGGATTCGACTGGAATTCAAACTCGGCTCTCCGATTCCTCAATCCGAGCTGATATACATTACTCTACTGTAAATTATTTAACCAAACCTGTTTGAATATGATAAAAATATATTTTTATGGTATGCTATGTTTATGGGTAAAAGTGCTCTATAGTAGAGATAGAGTGCATGTAAATATAAAAATTGACATGGTTAGAACTGTGTAGCGAAAAAAAACATGGTTAGAACTGTGTAGCGAAAAAAAAAACATATTTTAAATCAATTAATTTATAATATTAATGCTCTGTAAATTTATATTGAGCACTATTTTGTAAAAATAAAAATATCTATAAGAACACCGAATTATATATCTTATTGTTCATTTTTATATATATATATATATATATATATATATATATATATATATATATATATATATATATATATAGAATATACAAAGCTCAAACACTAATATTTCATGGTTATAATTTATTACATTGGAATCGTAATGATTCCAATGTAATGACTATATGTATAAATTTCAGACACTGTGGAACATCGAAGAACATATTATAATCATAAGGATAATAATTATTTACGTCATTTACATGTGGTCTTTTCTCCTCATCTTTTGTGTTGTCTTTGATTTTTTTCTACAATTTTAACTAAGCTCTCTCTCTCTCTCTCTCTCTACATATATATATATATATATATATATATATTTCAAGTGGCACATATGATACATGCTTGGGTTATCATGTCTCTTTCAATCCATGCAGATGGATAGGCAGATGATTCTCCCAATAAGCTGCTCTTCCTTTCTGCAGCAGACTGGTTAGCAATCAAGGCTATAATCAGGCCCAACTTCAAAGGACAGGAAATTGTGGAGAGCCATGATCGCCTACATCCTGAAGGAATATGGCACATAGTAGTAACAGTAGCTAGGGAAAGAAAAATTTGATTCATAACTTTTCCAAGGGTATTAGTGCTAAATGAATGTAACAAAACTGACTGGAATTCAAACTCTGCTCTCTTATTTCTCATTCTGAGCTGTTATCTATTACACCCTACTGCATATATATATATATATATATATATATATATATGACAAAATATATAAATCTGAGTTTTTCCAAATAAGCCATAATATGCCCAGATACATTAATTCTCTTATTATTCCCTCTTTTTCCAACTCACTATTCCCCTTTCTTTCCTTAAACTCCTAATTCCACTTCTGATTTCTTACATTTTTACTTCTCTTTTTTCTCTCTATATCATTTCCTGTGAGATGACCTATTAAATAGGTCAATATCTGGTCCTTAACCCACTTCCTCACTAAGTATTGTAATAAAAATAAATTTAAAAGCATTCCTATCTCTCCCTTCCCTCTCTAATTTCGACCATGTCTGTCACACTGTCTCTCCCCACTCTCTATATCATCTTACATCAACTTAAAAAATACCCCTGAAAAGTTTTTAAGAACTATATGTAAATTTAAATTCATTTTTTCACCCTTGGAAGTCTGGGCTGATGAGCCAGATAAAAAGAAATTCCCTGCGGAAATAAATTATTACCAATGGACCCTTAAAGTTGTCTGTTTTCATTATATATATATATATATCTATATATATATATATCTATATATATATATATATATATATATATATATATATATATATATATATATATATATATATATATATCCTTTCTATCTCAAACTCTGATAAAGCCTTTATAAAGGTGAAACATGTTAGTATGAGATACATTTCCGACATGTCCTTTATTTTATCATCTTGTCAGATTCCTATCCATATGTGATCTACATTTCATTTTTAACTCTTATACATACACACACACACACACACACACCCAGAGATATATGCATATATATATATATATATATATATATATATATATATATATGAGAGTGATTATAGTTATCCCATTGAGTGAAAAGTGTATATTTTAAAGAGAAAAGAGAGGCTGCAAATGTTTTTGGTTATAATGTGGATTTTTTAAATATAAATTATACTTTAGTTTCCAAATTTTCCTATATTATTTTCCATATAATTTACCATATTTTCACATATGGAAAATAAAGTATATTACCTTTTCTCTCTTTTCTCTTTAATATATATATATATATGTTGTAACCTAGGGAAGATTACTGAATAGAATAATCAAATGAAGGCGGGTAATGAAAGATAATACTTAGGACAAGAACAACACATATAAGATTCACCAGCAGTGTGTTGAAGTAGTAGTCAACTGCTAGAAATAAGTCAAGTGAATTCCACAATGAATTTCAAACTGCAAGACCATCATAGAATATTTAGTGCTGTATTTATGTGAATGGAGACATACCCATTATCGTGCATAGGTATGCTACAACAATATATATATATATATATATATATATATATATATATATATATATATATATTTATATATATTTTTATATATATTTATATATTATATATACATATACTTATTGGAAAGCATTCAATGTCAGTGATAGAGCTAACATATTTAGTTGGATTGATGTGAGTTTGATCCTGGATTTCATGCCCTTTGTAATCATCAGAGTTTGAAGATCACAACGGTGTGAAATTCAGGGTCACAAACTCACATCAATATAACTGAATATGTATATTATATATATATATATATATATATATATATATATATATATAGATAGATAGATAGATAGATAGATAGATAGATAACAAAAAACAAGTTTTGTCAGATTCAACCAACAAGCTTTGCCTATTTAATTTTTTATTATATTTTTCCAATTTCCAAAAGAGATGGATACCAGGACTAAAACTATGAATGCAATTCATGTTTTTCTGTTTAGTTCAAATACTTTTAACTATTCAAACAGAATTCCAAGTGACATCATATGTTAAAAGGAAAAACATTTTTAAAATATTTATACGTTTTTTGAGATGCATATTAAATATATCATATACATATTAAATATTTTATATACACCACAATATACCATCTCCTGTAAAGAAATTTTTTATTTAATGTCAAGTGTTTCTTTTGTATTTTGGTACTTGAAGAATTTTGAGTCTTCCTTTGCAGTAAGAACTGATAATGAAGAATATAGTCAAAAGTACTTGAACAAGAAAACTTTTAGTTCTCATGTACAACATCTCATTTGGAAATTGGAAAAATATAATAAAATATTAAATTGACATTGTCAGTTGAATTTAAGAACACTTATTTGGTTTAATTTTTGCTTCTGAAACAAAATAAGTAGACACTCAGGTCAACTCCGAGTAGTGACAGTCTGTTTCATTCTTGACAACAATCTTCATCACCTGAAGATTGTATTCAAGCATGAAACACACACAGTCACTACTCAGTATTGAACGCAGTGTCAATTTTTATATTTACATGCACTGTCTCTACTATAGAGCACTTTTACCCATTAACATAACATACCATAAAACTATATTTTTATCATATTCAGACAGGTTTGGTTAAATAATTTACAGTAGAGTAATGGATATCAGCCCAGATTGAGGAATTGGAGAGCCGAGTTTAAATTCCATTCGAATCCATTAGATTCACTTACATGCTAATACACTTTGGAAAGGTATGAATCCTCTTCTTCTCCCCCCAGCTTATGGGAAAATAGCAGGACATACATGGTAACCATTATAACCACATAGCAATCTTCTATGCCAACATAACAGAATATCATCTTTGATGGTGAATATCTTTGTTTAAATGTTCATATAACCAATCTGAAAATGGCTCATATGAGCCGAAAGCATAGATCAAGGAACAGCATTAAAAAGTATGCAAATTTTGGACAATTTTTGTCTGTATTTTCTCCCAAAATTAAAGCAACTATACGAAGTTTAGAACATAATAGACATTCATTGTCTGTTATATTTAACAATATATGTATGAATATTTATATATATATATATATATATATATATATATATATATATATATATATATATATATATATATATATATCAACTTGAAGTCTTCAAAAGCACATACACAAGTAGGGCATTAATGGTGGAACATGCTATTAAGCCCTTATATATGGAAAACAATGGGAGAGTCCAGCACACACATGCACACACATTATATATATATATATATATATATATATATATATATATATATTATGAATCTATCTGTATGTATGTGCTTATTCTCCTAAATCACACACAATCGGATTATGATATTTTATTCTCATCTTCACCTAATCTGACCTTCTCCATTTTTTTTTTGTTATGGTGTCTTTTCTCTTCTTTCCTGCTCTGTTTCATTTTTTTTTTTTACTTTAAACATGTCCTTATATGCTGATAAGTAAAATGAATTTCTAAGGTTAATCCAAGTATTCGTATATTTCTCACATTATTTGTCATATAAATATTCCCTGCTTAGCAAGTCAGGGAAGACAGATTTAATGACTTAAAAAGATCCATAACATGTTTCCAAGCCTATTAGAATCCATTGGATTGAAAGTTAATACTACAAATGAACGTAACGTTCCTGCTTTTCTTTCCATTATTTATTATCTTCTTTCTAAATCTAGAAAATGGAAGTGACATTTTCTGAATTGATGTAGTTTCTTTAGATTTAGGGAAAAAATATATCACAGGTTGACAGAAATATACATTCTCTTATGTGACATGTTGTTTTTTTTTTATTTAGTTCTGTTTCCTAATGTTTCTACTTGTGCATTACTCTTTTTGCTTTATTTTTTTTTTGTTTTATTTTTTTTTTTTTCCAGTGTTGTCCTGGGAGTCTCATTACTTGTTCTTTCTTGACTCAACAGAAGGAATCAAGGGAAAAACAAGAAAGAAAACTTCATTAATTATTATAAGTACAGCCCAAATGCCAGCTAGATATTAAAAGAGTCCAAAAAGAAAAATTTCTTTTACTCTTATGTTTTGAAGGTAAGTATTGAGTGAAGTGGCACCGAAGTGGTGACATATTATTTTTTTTTTTTTTTTGGTGATTGTTACGATCGTCTTCAGGGGAGAGGATCAAGAACATATATAATCGTGCCCACTTGCACAAATGAATTTTTGGTCTTTGCTGTCTGGCAGGAACACAAACGGACCAACTGTCTTTGGGCAACGGATTGTATTTGCAATGAGGGTGTGGGATGTATGTGTCTATTGAGATCAGTTGATGTGGACACAAGGAAATGGGAAAAGAAAACTGTAAAAGTGACAACAGCAGCCGCAACAAAAAATGATTAGTAAATAATTATCAGTGCCATAAGAAAGACAGTATGATGAGGAGGAGGAGGAGGAGGAGGAGGAGGGAAAAGAAAGGCAGGATGGTCGTGATGATGATGAGGAGGAGGAGGAAGAGGAGGAGGAAGAGGAGGAGGAGAAGGTCAAAGAGAGACAGGATTATGATGAAGAGAAGGGAAACAAAAGGCAAGATAATGAGAAGGGAAAAGAGAGACAGAATGATGATGATGATGAAGAAAAGGGAAAAGAAAAGCAAGATGATGATGAGGAGGAGGAGAAGGAGAAAGAATGTCATGATTATGATGATGAATGGAAGGGAAAAGAAAGACATGATGATGATGATGATGATGATGATGATGATGATGATGATGAAGAAGAGAAAAGAAAGGCAAAAAGGTGGCATATATATATATATATATATATATATATGCACACACACACACACATACATACATACACAATGGAGATGCATACATCAGTAAATGCTGAAAAGTTCTCAACCTCTAAACAAATGACCAAATATAAGAATCTTCATTCGGAAGAGCTTCTTGATTGGACAAACAATCTAACACACACACACACACATACATACATATATATATATATATAGATACATATATATGTATCTGAAAAATGTGAGCAAATTTTTTTTCACTTAGCTGATTGATGTTACCTTCAGCATCCCCACTACAAAATTTATTTATCTATAATGTAAGATGTAAGTTTCAAGATAGGTAGATAGGTAGGTAGGTAGGTAGGTAGGTATATGTAGTGTGGACAAATTAAATTTCATGCTGATTGTCCAATATATGTTGCAATGTGATTTTCAATTATATATATATATATATATATATATATATATATATATATATAAAGCATTGCATCAAATCATTATACACCAACATACCCATCACAAAATGCCTTGACATATTGAGAATCCACCTCAAAAAGTCAAAAGAAAAGCTTCCTCTACTGGTCCACAAAATTATAAAAACATGCAAACTCATCACAAACTACTGTTTTTTTCTCATTCATATAGATAGATATATTAGATAGATAGATAGATATATTAGATAGATAGATAGATATATTAGATAGATAGATAAGTATATACAGTGTGGAAATCAGAAATAACATTACATGGTGATTGAAACATACATCTTCCATGCAAAATATATATATATATATATATATATATATATATATATATATATGATGGACTCTCCAATTGAATTTAAATGTACAACCTCATTCAGTTTTTATGTTTGTATCATTCCTTCAGTCCTGCTAATATATATATATATATATATATATATATATATGAGATTTAAAATTTAAGCAACAGCAGATATTATTATATACAGTGCTCAATATTAAAAATATTAAAATGATATTAAAAATAGAACATTAATAATACTTTATAAAATGATTACCTAACTTTTAAATAACAATTTTTTCCCAGCTTCAAAGTTTCTTGGCAAAATTTATTTTCTTCAATGGTTTTTGGTTTTAAATGATATTTTCAATTTTTTCAATTTGTTCCACATCTCTTTTTCAATCCATTTTTTTTGCTCTGTTTTGTATGCATGCACATTCATGAATTTTTGTTTTTGTTTACATCTTCCGTTTTTCAGCCGTAGATTTTTCTTCCAGTTATAAAGTTTTACTTTGAATTAAATTTTTTGTATGGTTTATATAGAAGTTATGTTATATCATTAATTAAATTGTAATATTTGTTAATATGTATTATTAATTAAATTATAATGTTTTGTTGCATTTATATTATTATACAAATACAACAAAATATTAAAAAAATTTAATTTTGAAGAATAAAAATTTACAACTGGAAGAAAAATCTATCGTTGAAAAACTGAAGATGTAAACAAAAGCAAAAATTCATGAACATGGGCATGAAAAATAATGTTATATATATATATATATATATATATATATATATATATATATATATATATATATATATAATTAATGAAAAACAGACCACTTTAAGGTACCATTACAATAATTTATTTCACCAAAATCCTTTTTAAAGGATTTTGGATCATCAGTTAACTCTTACCAAGTTCTTCATAACTTAAATATATATATATATATATATATATATATATATGAGTTAAAGATCAAATGCTAATCAAATGTGGATCAGAATCCAAGAGGATGATAAAATAAAGAACAAATAGGAAACATATATCACTCTAACATGTTTCACTTTTATTAAAGCTTCATCAGAGATTGGGAGAAAAAAGACAAAAAAACAGAAACATTGCTATTTTCGATTTTGTTTGGATCAGTTCTCATTGGTTAGATTCATGTAACGTGTATTAAAACCATAGATAATTCTATGTGTAAGTTTGTGAAGAAAATTGCATGCCTAAATGGGTATCAGTAATGTGTATCTATAAATGTGTATGTATGTCTGTCTAGTGGGAGTTCTGATATCTTCAACTTTGTATGGCCAGCCCATGCAAGCAGGGTCTCACAGGATACTAATTTCTTGCTGATCTCTTTAACCATGTATTCTTTTTATTAGATAGATACGTTAGATTCTTTAAGAATGGATTCAAAGAAAGATGGTGATGTAATGTAATGTTTTGGGGCATGTGTTTATAGTCGGTAATAATGTTATTATTAAGTTTTCAATGTATTTTTTCTTAAAGAATTATGTTCTTTTTTATTAGGGTGCTGTTAGTGGTGAAATCAAAGTTATGTTCAGTATTGTTTTGATGCCAAATGAGAGCATTAGATTGTTTGATGAAACACAAGCTTATCTTGTGTGCATAGATGTGGGGGTTTTACATCACATGATGTCTCCTCTACATAAACATTTTTGCATTGTAAACAATTTATTTGATAAATCCTGGCATTTGAATTGGTGTTGGGTTTATTTTTTTCCTATTAATATCTCCAATTGTCTTAGAGGTGGTGGTAATGATTCTAGCATTAGCGATGACTAATTTGTTTGTGTGTTTAGCAGAAAGAGTGTTGGAGGGCAGGATTATGAATTTTGTTAGAAGTGTTATTGGTGGTGTCTGTTTTTTTTGGTTTTGAGTATTTTGTAAGCTTGTTTTTTTTTGTGTATACACAATTTCTCTCTGTCTCTGTATATATATATATATATATATATATATATATATATATATATATATATATATGTGCATATACAATTTTTCTCTCTATATATATAATATACATGATGTTTTTCTCTCTCTCTCTCTATATATATATATATATATATATGATTTCTTTCTCTCTCTCTCTCTCTATATATATATATATATATATATATATATACATTATTTTCTCTTTTCTATACATATAGATTTACATATATACATATACACACACATACACACACTCATACAATTTTGTATATGTATAGTTTTCTTCCTCTATACAGACAGAAATAAAGTAAGAGGGATAATATGTATTTTTAATATATTAATCTTCATTTGATACAAGGCTCAAGAACCACTCAAGGTAGGGGGTTACTGAATGACGTTATTGCAAGGGTGTGAAGGGAGGAAATCAAAAGTTCAAATTCTGACAATATGTAGGATAGCTAACCTTAGACTTGAAGATGTCAAGAATGTCATTAACTAGGAAACATCCCTTGTTCTCTCTCAATGTCTCCATCATATATATATATATAGAGAGAGAGAGAGAGAGAGAGAGAGAGAGAGAGAGAGAGAGAGTGAGAGTGAGAGTGAGAGAGACGAAACGAAATGGAAGAAATCAACATGAGTGGAATTAACAAAAATTGGTAAAAATGCAAGTTGAGACACAAATGGATCTGAGAGTAAGTCCAAAAATATGTCCTCTTAATACCATTGAGCTGTACAAAATCATAAAATTGTGAAGAAGAAGAAGTTGTAGGAGGAGGTGAAAGAAGAGTGGAAGGAGGAGGAAGCAAGCAGAAGAAGGAGAAGGGTAGGAGGAAGAAGAATATGGAGCGGGGGAAGAAGAAGAATGGGCTGCAGGAGTAAGAAGAATAAGGGGTTGGAGTAGCAAGAAGGAGGTAGGGAGTGGTGAAAGTAGAAGGTGGAGGAGCAAGAATGAAAGAAGAAGACAGTTTAAGAAGAAGAAGAAGAAGAAGAAGAAGAAGAAGAAGAAGAAGAAGAAACAGTATCAACAAAGGAGGAACAAAAAAAAAAGAAATTACAAAAAATAATGAATAAATGTGAATTACAAGAGAAGAAAGTAACAATGAAAAGTGGAAAGAATGAAATAATTAGAAGTTGCCCATAGAAAGACATGAAGAAAATGATTTGACAATGACCAAAGACATTGGCACAAATGCTGCCTGAAAGGAAGAATTCAGAATATAGCACTCTCAAAGATGAGAATTCTCAGTATAAGATTGTTGTCTTTGATTGCAATTTGGATGTCCTCAAAAATGTCTCCAAGGAGGTCATCTACACCAATAATTTTTTTTTTTTTTTTGGGGTTGCTGATTTTATTCTTTTATTCTTTTATATGCCTTTTTTTTTATTTCAGCTTTTATTATGTTTATTTTTTTTTCTTTGTTTTTCCATTTTATTTTCTGTTTTCTTTTTACATTTCTTTATTATTTTATTTATTTCTTCTCATTTTTTCCACATTATTTCTGTCATTTCTTCCAGATTTTTCTTTCCTTTTTATTTTGTATTTCTTTTCTTAGTTTCTTTACATCAATTCTTTATTTTCTTTAACCTCATTTTTCCTTTTTTCTTTCTCTATTTTCTTCTCATATCAAATTTTTTCACACATTTACCTATCTTCTTTTCATACGTTATTTCAAGTTTTCATTTTATTTTTTCTTTCATTTTCCTTAAATTCCTTTCTTTTCGCCATTTTTCTATAGCCTTCTCCCATTTTTTTCTTCCTTACTTGCTTTTATTACAAGTTTCCACTTATCTTTTCTTTGTACTCATTCATTTAATTTTTCATTTTATATATTTTTTTTCATTTTTTTAAAATTTCTGTCTTACAATTTCTTTTAGATTTCATTCTCTTATAACTTTTTTTTAATCATTTTTTCTGTATCCTGCTCCCATTTCTCTTTGTCTTTCTTTATTCTTTCTTTCTTTCTTTCTCTCTTTCTTTTAGTACAAGTTTTCTCTCTGTTAGATTTATTCTTTCTCTTTCTCTTTTTTTTTCTTTCTTTTTTCCTTTCTTACTTACTTAATTTCCCCTTTTCATTTCTGTTTTTACTTTATTTTTATTGTATTTTTATTTTACACCTTTCACCTTCTTGTCTCTTTCTTCTGTTATTTCTGGTTGCTATTTTTCATTCTTCTTTATTCCTTCATTATTTTTATTTTTTCACTTACTTTAATTACTTTCCTTCTTTTTATAATCTCATTTTTTTCATATCACTTCTCTACTTTTCATGTTTCATTCATTCTGTTCTTGTTTGTTTTCTTTCTTTATTTCTATCATTCTTTTTCATTAATCATTCATCCATCTCCCTTTTCTTTTATTCTTTCTTTCATTCATTTTTTCTCTTCTTTTTCTCCCAGTCATTCTTCATTTTTTTCTTTCCTTTTCCTCATTTTTTCTTTCAATTTCTCATCTAGCTCAGTTTCCTTTTCACACTTTCATTCCTCTTCTTTCATTTTTCCTTTTACTTTCATTCCTTCTTCATTTTTGTCTATTCTTTGATTTTTCTTTTCCCAAATTTATTCTTTTCTCTTATACTTTCCTTTTTTATTTCATTACCTTTCCATTTTATTTCAATTTCATTTTCCTTTTTCATTCATTCATCTATGCCTTCATTCATTTTCACGATTTCTTTCATTCATTCTTTCATTTCAAAATTTTTCTTTTTCTTTTTATATCATTCGTTCTGCTTTTCTGTTCTTTCATATTCTTCTTCCTTTTTTCCTTTTCTCTTTTATTTTCTTTTGTCACTTTCATTCATTTATTCATTCTTTTCTTTATGCATTTTCTGTGTCCCTCAAAAAGTTATTATTTACATTAATCCTTCTTTCTTATTTCTCGCTTCAGCCAAGTAGAATCAAGATCCCATCTAATCAGTTTGAAACTTCTAACAACACACTTGTACACATGCAATTTGCTCAGTTAGGTAAACAATAAAAAACATGGCCAATTGTTTTATGCAAAAAGGGGCTTGCAATAAAGAGAAAAACAAATGAGGGGTGAGGAAAGAAACCAACTTGAAGTGTGAGTAGACATTTGGCTTACAACAATCCCAGCCTCATTATTTATTAATGTATGCGTACTCATTGAAGACATGCTGACCAATAATGAATATTGTGCCCTGAACATGGCTATCCGTTAATGATATGGTTACATAGACAACTCTTGCATAATTGTGTCAGAAAAAAAAAAAGAAGGATTATATTGAAAAACTAAACACTGAGAAGTTGAATAAAGTATTTATAACTGAAAATGTGCTATTCAGCCCAATTTACTTGTGTTTAACGACCCCATGCAAATACTAATTTGAAACTGTAAGGAAGGTGTTGAAATGGATCAGAAGTGGGGAAATGAATTAAATGTAGGTACTGGAATGGATCAGAGTAGGTGTTAGAATAAATCAGGGGTAGGTGCTGAATGGAACAGAAGTAGGTGTAGGAATGGATCAGAGGTAGGTGCTGAAATGCACCAAATGTTGGGGATGAAATGGATCAGAGGTAGGTGTTGGAATGGATCAGAGGTAGGTGTTGGAATGGATCAGAGGTAGGTGTAGAAATGCATCAGACAGGTGTTGAAATGGATCGAGGTAGGTGTTGTAATGGATCAGAAGTAGGTGTAAAATGGATCAGAGGTAGGTGTTGGAATAGATCAGAGGTCAATGTAGAAATGGGTCAGATGTTGGTGATGAAATGGATCAGATGTAGGTGTTGGGATGGATCAGAAGTAGGTGTAGAAATGGATCAGAGGTAGGTGTTGGAATGGATCAGAGGTAGGTGTAGAAATAGATCAGATGTTGGTGAGGAAATGAATCAGAGGTAGGTGTTAAAATGAACCAGAAGTATGTGTAGAAATGGATCAAAGGTAAGTGCTGAAATGGATCAGAGGTAGGTGTTGGAATGGATCAGAGGTAAGTGCAGAAGTAGATCAGATGTTCATGATTAAATGGATCAGAGATAGGTGTTGAAATGGACTAGAAGTAGGTGTAAAAATAGATCAGAGGTAGGTGGAATGGATCAGAGGTACATATTGGAATGGATTATAAGTAGAAGTTGGAATGGATTAGAGGTAAGTATTGAAATGGATCAGAGGTAGGTATTGGAATGGATCACAGGCAGGGATTTTAATGGATCAGAGATAGGCATTGCAATGAATAAAATGTTGGTAGTGAAATAGATAGAATTGAAATGGCTGTGATGTAGTTGTTGAAATGTGAAGACTGGACAGTGCCAGCCCATGTATAGCAGCAATAATCCATTATTATTATGATGTGTCACTTGGAAAAAAAGAGTAAGTCAGGAAGAATTAGTTACCTTCTGGAGTAGTACAAGCATACGGTGTAGCGGTGTATTGTATATGAAAATTCCACTTAAGGTTTGGAGTAAGGAGCCTCATTGAAAGTACAACCACTTCACCATGAATGGAACAAATTCCTTCACTACTCAGTGATGATAAAATGTTACTCACTTGGTACTAAAAATTACAATTACAAACCATATTTTTCTCCATTGAGTTTTTAAACCTATGTCAGAGCAAAGATCAACTGCCAGGATCTGGTCATCCACATTCTTGGAAGTGAAAGTGGCATCATCTATATAGATATATATATTTTTTTAAGCATTTCACCCTCAGCAAGGCAGGAAGCTACTAACATGCAAGGGGTTACAGAGAGTTGGGGCAAGAGCAAATAGGAGTGATAGAGAAAAGGATGAAGAGAAGGTTAGGGGATAGATCAGGGCATCTGGAGACGTCGATTGACATTACATTTGAATAGTCGGGGATTATAGCTATCAGGGAAACAAGAAATGGGGAGGGAGTTCCACAGGCGAGAAGTGTGAGACATGAATCTATGAGTAGAAGAGACGGCTACATTTAACAGTTTCGACAGTGAAAGGATGAGAGCAAGATGCCAACCTAGTTGAACGCTTAAATTCATGAAGTCTGGGAACCAGTGAAAGCAGCTCATCGGAGCAGTTACCGTGAAAGTATTTGTAAAAAAGACAATGGGAGGCAATGGCATGTCTGTGAGAGAGCGACTGCAGACGAGATGCCAGATCAGGGCCAATTACATTTCATATCCGTCTTTGGATTTTATCAAGGACCTTGACACAAACAGAAGGGGCTCCAGACCATATATGGCCGCAATACTCCATGCAAGGGCAAATGGTTGATTTGTAGATTTGAAGGATTGACTGAGAAAGTGAGAAAAATTACCTGGTGCAGCATATTAATGATGTGAGAATGTTTATAGGCAGATCATTAATATGAAGGAGAAGGTATGTAGGACTAAGGAGAGAATTTTGTGGAATGCTTGCATTGATCTCAGGAGCTTCAGATGATTGGCCATTGATGATGACCTTCATGAAACTATCTGAGTAGTTGTGAATGGATCCTGATAGGTGTTATAGTACCTTGGGATATAAACATTGTAAAGACTGAACAGGTGAAAATACGGAAGTACCAATACCTGGTAGGGCAAATCATTGAAATATACCAAGCAACTACTGAAGATATGACTATTTAGAAGAATCTCTCTGCCTCATGAAATGCCTTGGAGATGCCTGACATCATTGGAAATGTTAGTGGTGGCACTGCTGCTTGGAACAGTTCATGTAATGAGTAAAGTGTTGTGTTTGTAAGTTGCAGGTAGGTGCTGAATTATGACCATCATCAACACCCAACCAAAACATCTAAGAGTCCGAGAGTAGTTTATCTAGGATTTAGTTCATGGTAAAAAATCTCTATCCATAAATTGCTTAAACTTGTTTGAGACACTGTGGTTAGATATTACTCGTTGAATTCTGTGAGCAGTTCTATCATGTCCTGCTTAAAATAATTCCTCAATATTGCCAGAATATACCTCCTAATAACATCTTAAACAAAAGGTACAGCTAAATAGTGTTGATAATAAAAGGAAATATATCATTTAGTTATTAATATGCTTGTACCTACCTATGGATGATATGTGTCATAATAATCCTATTAAACCCAGACTGTGCTGAGCATCTCTAAAAATATGTGGTTGTGACTTGGGGACAATTTGTACTACAAAAAAACAAGGGTAAAATGCAATAATGATGGAACTACTCACAGAATTCTGGAAGTTGAAAGAATTGAAAGAAATAAAACTTATCTGCAACCTTGTGCCAAACTTTACAAATCAGAGAATCTCCATGGTTGTCCTTTTTTTGCAAGAGAGAAAACATGTGTTCTCTTTCTTTCTTTTTATGTGTCATGTCATTTAAAGACGTAGATGATCATAGCTCTCCACCTCCCTCTATCCTTTGAAGCTCTTAATAAGTTCCTTCCCCCTGTACTCTCCCCCAGATCATGTTCTGTCATCCACCTGCTCAAGCCCACTAGGTATATGATGCATAGTTTTCCTTTGTCTCTCTTTCTCTCTATTCAACCTGTGAGTATCAAATTCTCCAGGCCCTCCTTCCTCATTATATGTCCCAGAAACATCAGCTGCCTCTTGCTGATGTTAATTATAAGCCTAATATTTGTTTACATCCTCTCTAAGACTTCATCGTTGCTCACACACTTGGTCCAGGATATCCTTAGCATCCTTCTTCAGAATCATGTCTCCGTTGCCTCGAGTTTCTTCTTCATCTATGAGAAAATCATCCAACATTTGCTGCCGTAAAGAAGGGTAGATAGTCAACCAAAAACAAGGACTGACCTGCTGTTTGGTATTCCCTGCTATGTTTTGGTACATCTATATATTCATTTGTTCTGCCTTCATAATGTTCTTATCCCAAGGTGTACTGCAACATCTATTAGGATCTATTCATAGATGCTGTTCTTTGCAAGTGTAACATCAGGGTGATTGCTCTCCAATAATAATAATAATAATAATCAATATTGTCAGAATCTCAATACATCTATCCATCATGATAACATCTTTAACAAAAGATACAATTGAAATTCCTTTTAACTCAACACCCCAAGTATGTTTGCTTCCCCACTTCTGTAGCCTGGTATTGAACTCACAACTAGATCTAACCAACATCATTATCCCATGAGGATGAAATAAAAGATTTGGTTCAAAATTCCAATCACCTGAAGGCCGGAGTGTACAACAGCCGAAATGTTTTGAATAAGGCAATGAAGATGAGGATAACAGTCTGAATAATGTAAATAATATAAATTACCATGTGCTTGTTTTTGCCTGAGAATTAACACGTATCCCTCTTGCAAAAAAGGACAGCCATGTGGTTCTCTCATTTATAAAGTCTGACACAAGGTTGCTGAGATTGTTTCATTACTTTCAACTGCCTAAATTCTGGGTGCAGTTCCAACAGGTTCTGCTTAAAATACATGTATCCCTCATTTAATATCTTTAACTCTGAATTAGTCATATGGAGTGTTTTGTTACCACCAAATTTTCAAAGTACTTGTAATTCCTAGTTAGCAACTTGTTTCCTTTACTTTTTCCCATGACTCTCAAGACTTTGGGAAGGTGTGTAGCATGCAGTGCGGTATAGTTGTAGGTCAGTTGTCATGAGAAGCAGATGACAGGGCAGTATCCATTTTCAGAAATCTACGGTGTCTAATGCTGGGTTAACAAACGATAATGTTGAGTGTTGGTAATGAGAGGAAATATTCACATAATAAGTTGCTTGTACCTACCTATCTATCATATTTGATTCTATTTAACCCAGATTGTGTTAAATATCCAAGAGGGAAACAGGAAGAGAAAGTGATGTAGAGAGTAAAACACAGAGAGAGGGAGAGTGAGAATGGAATATGTCACAATGACGAATTGGAAAGGGTCACAATGATGGATTGGAAGGGGTCACAAAGACGGAATGGAAGAGGTTACAATGACGGATTGGAATGGGTCATAAAGAAATGT